TCTTGGGAACTGGGAGGGTACATCATGTAACTTTCCTGGAAGTCACTGAAAAAGCATGATCTTCAGTGACACCGAAGTTGCACGGAGTTGTAGTTTGTGTTGTGCTGTTATGTTTTTTTCTTCTTCATTACACATTTTTTGGCTGGAGCGACCTATTCTCTGGAGCGATTTATACTCTGAAAAATACGGATTTGTAGAGCAGGTTAATATGAACATAAGGATGGTCCTTATTTATGAACTTTTAAAATCATATGGTCAGACTTTCCCAAAATGCTGAAATTGAGTAGAAATTGTGGTCTATAAAGTTTTATGAAAATACATTCATATTTATAGGTAGCTCAAAGTGGAGTTTGCATGTTCTCTCCGCATCTAAGTGGGTTTCCTCCAGTTTCCCCCATCAATCTAAAACATGCACCATAGGTAAAATCCTTCACTTAAGGTCCTGACCAAGACTAGCAACAAGATCATGGAGATGGATCCCCAGGCGCCCCATGTTTTGCTTACTGCTCCTGAAAGAACGGGTGATTATAAAAAGTATGATAAAAAACAAAACAAAAAACAAAACAGGATGATGGTCGTGCAGTGATGACACTGACACGAGCCTGAGAGGGAACACAGTGTGCACATGTACCACAGGAGGGCCCAGCATTATTGAATCAAGATTTTCTCAGTCAAACACTTCACAGAGTTTGCACTGAACTTTGTTTTTTATTGCCTCTAATTGAAACACGTCCTCAGCAAAATATTTTTCCATCAGTCAATATCATGTTTTCTTTCATAAGACACAAATGCATGTGCCTGTTGAGTGAACAGAATATTATGTTGCAAAAATGTGACTCTTTAATTGTGTTTCCTTCAGTATTTTAGCAGTAATGATGCCACAATAACAAAAACTTCAATGTCTTTGAGCTACCTCCAAATATGCATGGATTTTGTTAAACCTGCTTTTTAATGCTAAATACTGTATTTTTCAGACCATAAGTCGCTCCGGAGTATAAGTGACGAAGACAAAAACACATATAAGTCGCATCACATTATAAGTCGCACTTTTTGTGGAAATGTATTTTATAAAATCAGAGATCAGGAACCGACATTTCATCTTGAAAGTCAAGTTCTAGTAATAACAATAGAACAGAGAACAACAGACTGAAAAAGCATTAATATGTTTACGTAACATATGAACAGTTCTTCAGATAATTATAGCATAAACAACATAACATAAGTTTACCAAACTCTCCATCTCACTCTAAATCACTAAATCCACTGAATTCTTCATCCTCAGTGTCACTTCTTCACAACCAAAAGAGGTAAACACAGGGCCGCTTCCTCTTCTGCGTCGCTGTCAGACTGTCAGACTCAGCATCAGTTCCAGTTAGAATTATTCCGGTCTTTCTGAATCTCGACAGGATGGTTTTGGTGTCACTGAAGTCCAGGCTTTGTCCATCCATCCAGTGACTTCCAGGAAAGTTGCACTGCAGACACTCCTGGTTACTGTGAAGCTGTGTTCTCCCTGTTTTCTGCCAGTCCCTCACGAGTTTCTCGCTCACTCCAAACTTTCTTTCTGCTGCTCGATTACCATTTTCTACTGCAGATTTCACTACTTGCAGCAAGACCTGCTTTTTCTGCAGGAGACATGCGCAGTAGACCCAAGTGACAGTGGTACAGGAGCAGCAGATACTGACACACAAGTGTAGAGCGCCCCCTCTCAGTGTGAACATTTTAATCTATAAGTCGCAGGAAACACCCAAACCATGAAAAAAGTTGGACTTATAGTCCAAAAAATACGGTAATTTAAATGCTAAATATCTATGGGGTCAGAGAGACACATTTTGAACTTTTATGTTTTTCCATTGGGTAAGGACCACCCTAACAAACATTTTTAGACCAAAATGAGGAGCCTGACAGCAGCAGTTACAGAGAGAGGGGTGATGTTTTTTCAATACCAAGTGACAAGACAAACCTTCTAAATAAACTTCTATTTCAATTTAACACACAAAAAAAACTTTCTCTTTTATTTCTCCAAAATCTGAACTCTGCTCCTAAGATCTCAAATTGAATAAAATGTGATTACTGCCCGTCTCTACTTGAGTATTATCATTTAACTTGTGAAAAAATTTGTTTCTATTCTGCTTCTAAGAGTAAACAACAAATGTTGTAAAAACAAATAAAAAATAACACGACTTGATTTCTTGTTGCAGGAATCATACATTTTCTGTAGCCCATTATGTGTTGTGTTTACATTTTGAAGCTGGTTATGACGACAGATTTACGGCCTGTTTCCCGTCAGGATGCTGTGATGTGGTCTCTCTGTATAAATCCTTTCACAAACGTCAGATTTCCACTTTTTATTGTTCATCCTTTGGGCGTTTCTCCTGGACACATCCTTCCTCGTGAATATGTCATTTCTAGATTTTTTTTTCAATGTAGAACCACAAAACTGGATGATTACATGTTCTGAAAATATGAGATGGCTGAGGAACTCTGCTTGTGTTAATTATCTGTTACTTGTGTAATATTACTTTAAAAATCCTGTGGTAGCTGTTTTGGAAAATTTTTTCTGCTCTTTTTCTTTCACACTGATTTATAAACATCCTATATCAGACAAAATTGTTCTAATGTTGTTCCCTCCTGAAAAAAAACAGACCTGCAGTTGTGTTTTGTTTGATTCACACGTTTGAGTAACCCTCTTATTATTAGTCTGTCAATCAATCAATCAATCAATCAATCAAACTTTATTTAGAGAGAGCTTTTCATACAAAAATAAATAAATAATGCAACACAAAGCCTGCAAATTCAAAATAATCTGATCAGGAAATAGTGTAATATTGGCTTTTCAAATTATTGAAACATAACTTATAAATATAAATAGCTATGAAATAAAAAAATAAATAAATAAAATGGTTGAGAGATTCCACAAATATTTTTCTTTTAGCAATATTTTTGTGTATTTGTTCTTAGCCTGCATACATAGTAATACTGAAATTTTGTGTCAGGATTATCACGACCAAAATGATTGCAATCAGTGATAAGTTCAATGAAGATACACCATAAATACATTAATACTTTGTTCTTATTCTTACTAATTCTGGCCTATTCATACTTATACAGAATACGTTAGTGCTTAAATTACTACAGTAAAATTGTACCTGATTCTACGTGGACGTTTGTGCCCCTGATCCCTCACAGTGAATCTCCCACAGAGTTACACAGGCCCTGCCATGAACAAAACCTCTGTGTTTGTGTCTCTAACTGTTAATGAAGTAGAAGGTGAAGGGCCCCGTGGGATCAAACACTTGTAATTAGAGCAGTGTGTCTCTCCGGGGCAGGTCCGGGCAAAGCACAAAAGTTAGATCAGATTTTGTCCTCATTATAATCTCTTCACTGTAATATTTCTTAAACTTAAAAGTTTCTACTGAAGACAGTTCACAAGAGGACCACAGGAAGATGTGCAGAGTTTGCCCCCTCATGGACACTTTGAGTATTTCAGTTTGCTTTTTATAATAACAACATGGCTTATTTTATCCATCCAGACATTCAATACTTTTAAACTCCTGAAGTTAAAATCTTATGCATTTCCTATTTTACTTCAATCAGATTTATTTTCACAAATACTACCTGTAATATAATAAAGATAATAATAATAATTCATTAATTAATTAATAATTCATTAATTATTTATATTAAATGAATTATTTACTTCAAATAGTTTAATATAAAAAAAATAATATAATAAAATAAAGAAAATAAACTCTTCATTTACCCGATTCTGAAATAAAGGGGCACTAAAAGTCTGAAACCTTCTCTCCTCCTACCTTGGTATTAAACTTGGTTATAATAAGCAGGTGACACCACCAAGCCAAGTATTTTGGGCAATACAATTCCTGTAATTTAATGAATAGACAATAGAAGTGTGTGCCATACTCTGGAACATTTCAAGCAAAGTAGCAGAAAAGTTTCATGGTGCACAAGGGCTGAATGATCTGAAATATGTAATTTTTTGGACAGATGTGGGATTTCCTCTCTGCTCCTCTTCAGCTGACTTCTCTCAGGAGGAAGAATCATTGAGAAATATTTTATAACCACAGCTCGCCAACTTAACTTTCATCTTGTCCTTTATGCTGATGCTCCTCAAACCATGAATGCTGACTAGGAAAACTGCTGCAGTTGCTGTAAAGTGACGTAGACTACAGTATTGTAGCTCCCTGTAGGCCGACTGAATACACTGTTTGATTACAACAGTTTGTACATGGCTGTTGAAACCTGCTGGGTACTCACGGGTACCCAACTCAGTACAGGACTCTGTTCCGGGCATGTCCCATAGGAAGGTCCCGGGGAAGACCCAGGACACACTAGTGGAACTATGTTTCTGGGCTGGCCTTGGGGTCCCTTGGAGGAGCTGGAGGAAGTGTCCAAAATGATGGAAGTCTGAGAGTCCCTGCTTAGACTTCTGCCCCAATGACCCAGCCCCGGATAAGCGGAAGAAAATGGATGGATGATTTGGGATTTATGTTTTAATTATAAGATTCAGTTCAACGTTTACATTTTAGAAGAATTGCCAAAAATACTGAAATGTGCTCTGCCAATCTAATACAAGAGGCCTAACATGAGGATTATCTTATTTTATCCATCCATCCATTTTCGTCCACTTATCCGGGGCCGGGTCGCGGGGGCAGCAGCCTAAGCAGGGACTCCCAGACTTCCTTCACCCCAGACACGTCCTCCAACTCCTCCGGGGGAACCCCGAGGCGTTCCCAGGCCAGCCAAGAGACATAGTCCCTCCAGCGTGTCCTGGGTCTTCCCCGGGGCCTCCTGAACACCTCCCGAGGGAGGATATCTTATTTTATGTACAATATTATTAATTGCAGCCTTTGCTCGTTGTTCATTGTGTCCATTCAAATGATTTCTTGTCAGTTGCGATTCATCTTGCAGCCCTAAGGTGCAGCTTTAAAGCCAGATCTCCTGTCTACTATCACTAATCTCCAGTCTCTTCTTTCCCTCAGGTCCAGCTCCCCGTATTCATCTGAAGCCTTCATCATTCCCGCTCCACAGTCGGTCGGTGCAGCCTGTGGTTTGATGGAGGGGTTCCCAGTTCACTGACGCCCACGACCCCCACCCATACCCCCATCCAAGCCCCACCCATCAGCCATGTCCGCCTGCAGCACCTTCACAGAGCATGTGTGGAAACCGGGCGAATGTAAGAACTGTTTCAAACCCAAGAGCCTGCACTGCCTGACGGGGAGCGGAGGAGGAGCGAGGCCCATCCCAGAGCAGAGGCCTTCAGGGACGCACCACCAAGGTCTACCACCAGGGGGCGCCAGGGCAAACACCGGGCTGTCTCTCAACGCACAGAGGGCAGGCAGTGGATCGGCCAGGTCAGTTTGGTTTGGATCATTATGTTTTAACCATCAGGGTTGGCAGTTCTACAGCTCTGCTAGTGGTCAAAGATTGTATGCATCATCTAGTCATGTGCCAAAGGAAACTAGAGTTAGATGGATTTAAATATATGCTTCTTTCATGGTTTGAAGATCAGGCACCCCAGCAAGTAAAACAGATCAGAAATTAGTTTTTAATTTACTCATATTTAAAATGAGGGGTACCAAGCATTTTAGATTGTATAATATAACATAAGATAAGCCTTTATTATAAGTGGAGAAATTTGTCTTGGACATTAGAAGCACAATGAAAATAGGAACATCCAAACACAATTTCATATTAAATACAGTACTGAATCCTGAATTGACCTGCCATAATTTTGGACTATAAGTTGCATAAGGGAAAAAATGCGTAATGAACGTCGCACCGGGCTATAAGTCGACTTTTTGTGGAGAAATGTATTTTATAAAATCAAAGACCAGGAACTGACATTTCCTGTTGAAAGTCAAGTTCTAGTAATAACAGTAGAACAGAGAACAACAGACTGTTAACGTCACATATGAACAGTTCTTCAGATAAATATAACATAAACAACAGAACAAGTTTACCAAACTCTCCATCTCACTCCAAATCACTAAATCCATTCAATTCTTCATCCTCTGTGTCACTTCTGAGCAACTGAGTGACCTCCGGAGGTAAACAGAGCGCCGCTTCCTCCTCTGTGTCGCTGTCATCAGACTCAGCATCAGTTCCAGTTAGAATTATTCCGGCCTTTCTGAATCCTGACAGGATGGTTTGTTTAAATTAAATATTTTCAGTGGTACAGAAGTAAAGGTGCGATCGACTGACATGATACAGACAGGACAGAGGCTCTTTCTGCAGGAGACATGTGCAGTAGAGTGAAGTGACAGTGGTACACTAGGAACAAGAGCAGCAGATACTGACACACAAGACTAGAGCCTCTCGCAGCTGTCAGTGTGAAAACTTTAATATATAAGTCACAGGACCACCCAAGCAATTTATAGTCCTAAAAACGTGGTACAAATCATGAGAACTTTATAAGTTTTCTCTCAGATGGAAAATTACTTGGACTGGATGTGAGTCAAAACAGTGTCCAAATGTTGACCTTTTAAACCTTTTTTTACTATATTTAAGTATATCTTATTATTTGCGCAAAGTTCTACAGTCTGTCATGCTAATTATTTACTTTCCTTTGTTTCAGGACTGGGCATTTCCGACCTCCTGTGGCCAAGAAGCCGACCATCGCTGTGAAGCCCACCATGATGCTCCCCTCCTCTCCAACGTCTCCAACATCTCCGACTTCTCCAACGTCTCCAACGTCCCCAACGTCCCCAACGTCCCCAACGTCTCCATCATCAGGACTCGATTCAGACGGGAACACTGTACAGTCTCCCGTAAACTCCCAAGTCGAAACTGGAAAAACTTCTGCATTCACTGTTTGGACCCACAACGGACTCAACCAAAAACGACCGAGCAACAATAACAATGATGGCGAAGGAGGGAGCCAAGAGATCGAGGGCTACGGACCACTTAGCCCACGAACACCAAGTGGGAACAACAATAACAGCGGACTTACTGATGTTTTGAAAGAAATTGCTGGTTTGGGCCCTGGTCCGAGCTCGCCTCCTCTTTCAGGATCTAAAGACTTGTTTTGGGGTCGAATTAGCACCTCATATCGAAAATCGCTGGAAAGAGGGCTACCTGCTGCGAGCTGTTTAGCCATGGGAAGTAACACTAGCGGAGGAGACTGTCCGAGCGGTGGTCCAAGTTCGTCGCAAAAACGTGTTTCGTTAAGTGATAGTGCGGAAATTATTAGCCGAGAGGGCGGGAGGTTTTGTTACCCAGAATTCTCGAGTGAGGATGAGGACGACGAAGACGACGATGATACCGAACGAGAAGAAGAGCATGAAAGCTGGGATGAGAGCGATGAGGAGTTGTTAGCGATGGAAATTCGAATGCGAGGACAGCCACGGTTTGCAAATTTCCGAGCGGCTACGTTGTCCCCCGTGCCATTTGCTGCGGGAAAAAAGTGGAATACCGTCCCGCTGCGAAATAGGTCGCTCCAAAGAATCTGCGCAGTTGATTACGACGATAGCTACGATGAAATTTTGAATGGTTATCCGTCTATGGACTCAAACGGAAGTCTCATGCCGTACGGACATCACAATTTGCAAGGGAGTGGATTCCTGTCCAATTCTGAAACTACAACTTCCCCTGAATCATCTTCTTCGCAGCCTGAAGATTCAAGGACGACCTCAAGCAGCGGTAGCAGCGCCCCCTGTCTGATGAAAAATGGCTTACAGTCGCCCACGTCTCCAAATATCCAATGCACTTCTCCGAAAAGTCCAGTTAAAGTTACTGAAACGCACACGTCCGTTTTGGCTATTAGGTTAGAGGATCAAGAAGGTAAAGAAGGTTTACCAATGCCCCAAGCTATCCAAGGACAGCCTGTTACAATTAGTTTTAGCCCAACAGAGGAGAAAGCTAAACCATACCGTGTTGTTAATCTAGAAAAATCGCTCATATGCAAGCCTTACACTGTAGTTGATGTATCCGCGTCTATGGCGAGCAAAGATGAACAAGTTTGCAATTCTACGCCTAAATCTCCCACTGTTTCAAGCCCCACTATTCCAACGCCACTTCCCAAAACTTTCTCCAGCCAACCACTTTCACCCACCTCTCCATGTTTCGCCATTTCGCCCAAAACGCCCATTTCCATTGCACCGATTCCCGCCTTGCGCAAAAAACCTGGCAACATACGCTACCAAGAAGTGTGGACATCAAGCACGAGTCCGAGACAGAAAATCGCAAAAGTCGATTTCGGAAATGGAAGCAATTCTGGATCTTCTGTCGCTACTCAATATTACAATCATAAATCCGCTCCTACCTCTCCGATCGCTGGGCTGTCGTCTTCGCGCACTGTTCCGGTCAAATCTCCAAACTTATCTGAAATCAAGTTTAATAGTTTCAACAACGCAGGGATGCCCCCGTTCCCCATTATTATTCGAGACGAACCGGCCTACGCGCGAAGCTGTAAGAACGCGGTTAAAGTCCCCATAGTGATCAATCCAAGCGCGTATGACAACTTAGCGGTATACAAGAGCTTTTTAGGAGTGTGTGGAGAGCTACCCCCACCTAAGGGTGCAGGGAGTAGGGTGGCCAGTCACACTTACGAAGAAATTGGGTCGTCTGAAAGTGTCCAGTCATCATCTACAGACAAAACGATCTCCGGTAGAGGTACTTCAGAGCGAGCTTCATTTGAGGACAAGAAACCACAACCAGAATTGTCTGCGAAAGTGTCAAATTTACAGGTTAGGTCTAATTTAGATTCTAGCACAGTGTCCAGTACCAGCTCTCATTCTGGCTGCATTCAACCTATATCTTTGACGAGTTCACCAGCTAGTTCGGCGATCGCTAAGAGTAGTCCAAGTACTAGTACATCATCTAGAATAACAGGAGATTGTAAGAAAGATGATATTGATTTGACTTATAGGTCTACAGGTAGCCACAGAGAAGAAGCAAGCGCTGTCCTTTCTCAAATCGTCACGTCAATTCAACCTCCGCAAACGCCTCCGGATACGCCAACATCGCAGGACAAAAGTATAGAAGAGTTGTATTCTCTACCTCCAGATGCGATGAAAGAGACACTTTTGAGACCCAAATCGTTCTTCTCCTCGGCCGATGTTGGGTTCAAGTCCAAAAAAGATACGCCGTCGAAAGTGTTATCAAAATCTCAAAGCGCATCTGCAGCGGTGTCACTCTCCAGTCCGAAATCGGAGCAAAACCCGCCCTTTCCTCCTCCCAGGTCAACATCGTCGCCGTACCATGCCACCAATATACTGCAAAGACATTTCGCCAACTGGACAAAGAGTTCAGGATCTCCGTCGAGGCAGACCGAAGGCGAAGGAGACGGAAGGCGCGGTAATTCGGAAAGCGCCAAACCGAAACGCTGGATATCGTTTAGGAGTTTTTTCAAGAGGCGAAAAGACGACGAAGATCAGAAAGAAAAAGTCGAAAAAGAGAAAGGGAAGTTGGTTGGATTAGATGGGACGGTAATACACATGCTCCCAGCTCCACCTGTGCAGCAACATCAGTGGTTTGCAGAGGCCAAACCAGAAGATCCGAACCAGAAACCAACGATAATATTCACGTATAAACCGGATAGTGGGCCAGGAGAGGGGGAGCTGAGGATAGAGGAGGTGAGAGAGACAGCGCTGTTAAACCCAGAAGAAAACCTGAAATCTGCAAGTCAAAGACGAACACCATCTCCTTCGACCACTGGGGGAGAACCAGCTGGGTATGTACATGATCATTTTAAAACAGCTTTTTTGTCTGACTGATGTATATTTGTCCAAAAAGCTCAAAAGATCACAAATATGTTGTTTGGTCTTTAAAAACATGCATTAGGAGGGATTTTTAAAGTGGGACTAAACACTTTTCAGCCATTGTCAAATAAAGCTGCTAAACTGGGCTCTACCTGTGGGACTAAAGAAAAGAGTGAGGGGTAAGAGGGGTGGGGTGTGGGGTATAAGGAACAATGTGATTATAACAGATATCCACACTTCAAACTCCGCTACCAGGTATTTGTATCAGAAACACCTTACTGTAATTAGAGCAGTACTGTCTGATGTCACATAGTACTTGACATTGTAGTGGCCTCTGGAGGCAGCACATACATGACCAGAAAGCTGCAAATTGACCTATTTTTCACTAAAATTGACAAAAAATTACCAGGAGCAGTAGTACTACTACTACTCCAATACTATTAAAGATCATATGCAGTTATCATTGTCCAGTGTGTCACTAGTTGTGGCCATATCTGTTTGTCAAACCCTGATCCCGTCAGATCTCAGAAGCTCAGCAAGTAGGATGGGTGTGTTGTGTGTGTTCACCCACATTGCCTAGTGTGTGGTGTGGAGGGACTGATGGTGCAAACTCGCAGCCTCATTTCCGTCAGTCTACTTATCCCCTCCAACCACCACCATCACACACACACCACTTTCATACAAGGCAACGTGGGTGAAGACATATGAAAGATGTAAGATATATTAAAATTCCATGACTTTTCCAGGCCTGGAAAATTAAATTTTCAATTTCCATGACTTTTCCAGGATTTGGTGTTTTGTTTCATTCACACATGTTTGACTGGCAGCCTCATTTCCATCAGTCTACTTATCCCCTTCGAGTGTGGAGTGAATGAATAATGATCTGTAAAATGTCTATGAGTGTCCAGAAAAGCAGGAATCCCACTCTTTTCCATGACTTTATCATGACCTAAAGTGAATTTTCCATGGATTTACAGCACCTACATGTGTAGAATTGATCAGACTTTCAGGGCTAAATATGAAATGTTAACTCTTTCCACTCACCTTATGGTTTAGGATTATAGTTTCTGAACATTCAAAATCCTGTCAGTGCATTTATTGTCGTCTCTTTTAAACAAAAGGCGCAGACATTCAGAAATAATCATAATAGACTAATGAAAACATAACAGAACGCTGTAATTGCGTGAAAGACATATTCAAATTCCATGACTTTTCCAGGCCTGGGAAATTACATTTTCAATTTCCATGTGTTTTCCAGGATTTCCATGACTGTGGGAACCCTGTATATAAAACTGATGCATAATTAGTAGTAGTAGTAGTAGTTTTCATCAGTATTATTGCTTGTTAATAATAAGTAATTTAAAGGTTTATTATGCAAATATATTGACTCTTAGGAGCTTTAAATCCTGTTAGAATCTTGTTATCTCCTCAAAAACAGACCTGGAGTTGTGTTTTCTTTCACTCACACATGTTTGATTAATCCTTTATTATTAATCTGTCTACATCTCCAAAGCTCAAGACGCTCTGTTCCACCTTGTGATGTCATGACGTTGTAGTTTTCAAGTTAACAGCTCCATTTTACTTTTAAATTCAGTAGAGATGGGCAATTCCAGGGCTGAAATGACCCAAATGATTCTAAAAAAAAAAAAAAAAAAGTGTTTGGAGTTTAAAAACACAGTGGAGCTCTGCTAAGATTCCACATGTCCACATAAGGAGATGGATCATATGATGGACAGAAGTCACTATGTCTAGAGCAAAAATGAGCCTTAACTATGTCAAACTTCAATCATCTCAGTGCCTGTACCTCCCCACATCCTCCACTTGATATTTTTGGAGACACATCTGAAACTTTTGGCTGGTCTCTTGGCGCCTGACTCTCCTCGATCACTACTGTACTTCTTTGCTCATAATTCCTCTCTCCTCCTCTGAGCCCTGAGCTGGTGAACTCTTAAATATTTCACCACTCGACACTGTCAAAACCCGGCCCCAATCTGTCGACTTTCTCTTCAGTTTTTTTTTTTTTTTTCAAATTCACATCAAACGTTCGTAGGTGTGCCTTTGTTCTTCTCACTCTAAATAACCAACTTCATAAATTTGCATGTTTTAGCAGAGCTGTTTTAGCTGAACGCGATGTTCACTCTTTTCACTTCGCTATGGGTTTAAAAGTTCACGATGTAACTTTTCTGGTGCAAGGTTTGTTTCCATGGAGATGTTATTGGTTTTTACTGGATATTACACAGCATGACATTAAACTGGTGTATCTCCGAGGAAAGATAAGCAGAATCTGTGTATCATCCGTTCATTCGTTTTTCAAAATAAAACCAAAAATAAGAAATGAATAATGGAAAAAACGGACAACGACGTTTCCCTTTTCGTCCGATTTTGACCAGGACTGAATCAGGACTGAACCAGGACTGAACCAGGACTGAACAAGGACTGAATCAGGACTGAACCAAGGCTAAACCAGGACTGAACCAGGACTGAATCCAGGATTAAGAAAGGATTAAAACAGGACTTAACCAGGACTAAAACAGGACCGAAACAGGACTGAAACAGGACTGAACCAAGACTAAAACAAGACTGAACCAGGACTGAAACAGGACTGAACCAGAACTGAACCAAGGATAAAACAGGACTGAACCAGGACTGAACCAGGTCTGAACCAGGACTGAAACAGGACTAAACCAAGACTAAAACAAGACTGAACCAGGACTGAAACAGGACTGAACCAGAACTGAACCAAGGATAAAACAGGACTGAACCAGGACTGAAACAGGACTAAACCAGGACTGAACCAGGACTAAAACAGGACTGATCCAGGACTGAACTAGGACTAAACCAGGACTGAACCAGGACTAAACCAAGGCTAAAACAGGACTGAAACAGGACTAAAACAGGACAGGACACTCTCGGTCCTGGTCTCAGTCCTGGTCTGGTCCCGGTTTGAGTCCCGGTCTGGTCCAGGTCTGATCCCAGTCTGATCCCAGTCTGATCCTGGTCTGGCCCTGGTCTCAGTCCTGATCTTGTCTCGGTCTGGCCCTGGTCTCAGTCCCAGTCCACGGTTCAGTCCTGGAAACTGAACTGTGAAATGTATATGTTACATTTAGTTTACTATTTACTATGTAACTCATTCTTGTGGACCCAGTCTCATGGAAATTTTGTCTTGCCCCGTCCCTTTTAAGTTACAAAGTGCACCTTAAAGTTAAGTTTATTTGAAAAAATAAAATAAAAATAGGCTACACTTAAAGAGGCTGCAGATTTCTCTCCACATTCTGTCAGTCGTGATTATACTGTGGTTTATCATCAAGTGTGAGTGAGGAGGGAATGAATAATACTTTAAATTACATAGTAACTCTTAATGATACAGTAATAATGGGGCATGTATTTTACAACAAAACGTGCCTCGTGTTCAAACTGGGAAAAGTTGTTGGTGCTGTAAAAGTAAACTACCAAATTGCTGGGTTTCAGATGACATCACAATGACCCAAATGATTCTAGTGGAGGTGCATGGTGTTTAAAAACACAGTGGAGCACTTCCTCACCAGGTGTTTTCTGATTGAAAGAAGGAGCTCCGGTGTACCCTCACGGCAGGTGCAGTGTGGTTCGGGACACATGTGACTTAGAAAGTCATTAAAATGTGTTAGTTAGTTCATTTGTTAAAAGTTGAATGCTGCCACCCTGACCTCGGTGCAGGTGGGCGCAGGCCTACACAAAGAATCCACGAGAAGTGTATTTTTTGCTGGACACTGCAGAGGTCTCTGACGTCAAGCTGACAAAATCACATGAGCAAAACAGGAAATCAGACGCACAGAACTGACAGATCCAGAGTATTTTCAGAATAAAATATCTCTGCTACTCCTGGTACTTTGTGAACCACTGTCACGGAAAACCTGGAAAAGTCATGGAAATTGAAAATGTCATTTTCCACATCTGGAAAAGTCATAGAATTTTGCAAATTCAATTTAAGTTTTGGAAAAGTCATGAAATTGTAATATCTCTTTTTCTTAACTACAGAGTTCTGTTAAGTAAGAAAGAAAAAGAAATTTAAGAAGAAATTTTGTCAGTGTAAAAGAGTGTGAACCCTGGAATGTACTTACCCATTGTACACAGCCAGGGCATCCAAAAGCACAAGAAAGTTGTATCCAAAGGCACGAGAAAGTGGTCGTAGTGTGAAATGCTGCTGAACTCCCGACCAGAGCGTGAATCCCTGTGCATACATTGTCTCGGGAGTGCAGTTTCCACACTCTGCCCACCGCAATCACACAGCAGCAGAAAGCACAGTCACTGGGACAAGTAAAACCACACTGAACCCGAAACACCAGTGGATGAAACAAAACACAACTCCAGGTCTGTTTGTGATGGCAAAACATTATGACATAGATCAGAAAATATTACACTATTTTCTGATGGGCCCTTTAATGCAGATGGAGGGCAGCTAAAATTAAAAATGTTAAAATGCAGATTATTGTTGTAATACAGTCAGTTCTTAGACATAGTCACTAACAGAAATGAGGTTCAACAATTGTGAATTTGGAATCTGAAAACCAACCATATGACTTTTAAAGGTGCACTGTGTAACTTTTCAGTCTGGAAATAAACTTGGTAATCGCAGCAGAGACAGGTTCATGGTCAGATCTATGCAGAAGCGAGCCTGCACATGGTGAGAATTCATGTTTTTGAGCTATTTTTGAGCTATAAATCACCTCTAATTGAACAAACGGAAGGGAGATATGTTTAATGCCCTACTGTGTGACATTCCAGGTAAACAAATAACACCTCCATGGACACAAGCAAGTCTCAGCACCTTTAATATTACTGTCATTAGTTACTTTCCACCAGATAAAATCACCACCAGCCCCGGCTCCACCTTCCTTTGCAACTTCTCGCGTTTCTCACCCTTTAACCTTTTGTTTACTTTGAAGCTGTTAATGAATAACTGCACAACGCCTCCAGGTCAAATAGTCCTTTACTT